TTTGAGGAGTGGAGACTACAACTGAGGTGAGATGTCTGCGGATTGACAAGGGAGTTAAAGCAGGATGAAGTGGTTGGAGCAAAAGCTGTCAGCTCTAGGGAGAAGTGGAGGACAAAATTATGTTCATAAAAAAAGCACATTCCTTCTAAAACCTCACCCAGATTTAACCCTCCTGCTCTTGATAATGATGTGCATGTAAAGCCCATTGGCACTGGGGCTTCTAAGCCCTGGTGGTCCTGTGTGGAGCCAGGATCCAGTACCCATGACTTGGTGATCCTTGTGGGTCCCTTCCAACTGGGGATATTCTATGATTCTGTGATAACCTACAAGTGCTACTGCATCCCTCAGTTCTGGAGATGGAGTGGATACACTGTGCCTGCCCACAGCTCAAGGATGGTTAATGAATGACTTAATTACCTCCCCTAGCTGAGATCAAGCTGCAGCTCTGAACCAGCTGCTGTAAGAGGGGGGCTGCCTGGGCATCATGGGGCAGCAGGTGGTGAGGCTGCAGGCTACTCTGGAGATGCTTCAGAGATACAAGCTGACAGGAGTGGTGAAAAAAAACAATGTGCAGAGGAAAACTGCCAAGTAGGGAGCTAGGAAGCTACAAAGGAAGAGGAGAAGGATAGGGAGGGATGCTAAGCTACTGCTTTTTCTACAGCTGGCAGGAAAGAGCATCTCTGGTCATCCCTGCCCTCAGCTGACTGGACTAGACTGGACTAGACTGGAGTGTCTGAGGTTAGGGTAGGGGCTTGTGGCTGAGTTTGCAAGCCCTTGCATCTGCAGCATGTGACTGAACTGTTGTTTGTAGGGATTGCCTACAAAGGCATGTGGTTGGAGATGGCTGCATGGGATGGCAGTGCTTGACTTCATTGCAAGCATGTGCAACAAGCTTCTGCTGCTTAGCACAGGCTTCTGCTGCCTTGGTGGAATTCAGCTCAGTGCTGTGCAGAGACCTTGAGTTTACCTCTGGAGGCTCTGTGTGGCACTTTGTCTCACACAGATAATCTTGCTGAAAAACATGTTGGAGCAGCCTGAAAAGCACGGTGTTTAAAGCAGCTAAACTCTCTCTAGTCACCTGAATCACAGCTCTTCCACGTGATGATACACTATATGGACATATAGATATTTACTACTTAGTGTATCTAAAAACATTGCAAAGGAAAGGCTCTGTTGTTTTACCGAAGTATGGGACATTGCAAAGTCTTCCCTATCCTGCAGTCTAGCAAATCTAAGTTTGTCACTTGCATATGCATACAGTATTAAAATTGGAATTTCCTTGGCTTTGGAGAACTTGCATTTTGAATAGGAACAAAATCCTGGATCAGTAAGATTATTTATGTGTGTAACTTTTCTAAAAACTAAATTGTACAGTTTCTTCAGTGAGGGAGGTACTTGAGTAAATGTCTGTCTGAGCAGACCCATGCAAGATGGTCAGAATCTTACAAAACTGGGAAACCAAGAGAGCCAGTGGGGCTCTGTTGCTGGCTGATGGTGGGATCTGGCTAGTTGTGACTGTAGCTGCAGGTTAGATGCAGCACGTATGTGCTTTCTAATGCAGCAGAACCTAAAAACCCCTCATAGAAAACAGGCACTGTTCTGATAAGTATTTCACAAAAAAACAGCACAAGGACTTTCTGTACAAACCATGATTGCAGCCCTGGCTATCCCATTACTTTTTTCTTTTGAGTATTTGTATTATGCCATTATACTCACTCTCTCCACTTAAACTTCATCTGATGTTTTTGCAGCATTTCAGGATTTCAAGAGTGTGAAAAAACACCAAACTCACAAAACCTCAAAGCCCATGTTTAAGCATGTGGCCATTCCTCAGTGCAACTTTCAGAGATGCAGACAGCTAGTGCGTGCCTTCTGGTGCCAGTAAATATGTAGAATTACCTGCTAACTGATGCTACTCTGGCATATGTGAAGGTGTGGGTGGGCAGGTGTGATAAGAGTAGCTGATGGATGGTGGAGCCATGCTGAGACAGCAGTCTCCTTCACTGTGTCCTGAGCAACTGCTGTGATGTGAGCGCAGGGTCCAAGCTCTCCCACTTGTGTGTTGTTGTTCACCGGAACTTTTTGTAACTGCTTTTCCCCCCTCCTCTCTGCTCAGTAAAGAAGCATTTAATAGAATCATAGAATCATTTAGTTTGGAAAAGACCTCTAACATCATCAAATCTCACTATAAACCTAGCACTGCCAAGTCTATCACTAAACCATGGTCCTATCCACATCTACACATCTTTTGAATATGACCAGGGATGGTGACTCAACCATTTCACTGTGCAACTTGTTCCAGTGCCTCACAAACCCTTCAGTGAAGATTTTTTTCCTAATATACAATGTAATCCTCCCCTGGTACAACTTAAGGCCATTTCCTCTTGTCCTATCACCTGTTTTTTTTGGGACAAGAGACTGATCCCCATGCCCCTACAACCTCCTTTGAGATAGCTGTAGACAGTGATAAGGTCTTCCTCGAGCCTCCTTTTCTCTAGGCAAAATAACTCCAGTTCTCTCAGTCACTCCTCATAAGACTTGTTCTCTAGACTCTTCACTAGCTTTTCTGCCTTTCTCTGGACGTGCTCCAGCACCTCAATGTCCTTCTTGCATCTTGAGGGGCCCAAAACTGAACACAGTTTCTGAAGTGGCCTCACCAGGGCCAAGTACAGAGGGACAATCACTTCCCTAGTCCTGCTGGCCACAATATTTCTGATACAAGCCAAGATGCTGTTGGCCTTCTTGGCCACCTGGGCACAATTCTGGCTCACATTCATCTGACTATCATTCAATACCCCCAAGTTCCTTTCTGCCAGGCAGCTTTGCAGCCACTCTTCCCCAGCCTGTAACATTGCAAGGAGTTGTTGTGCCCCAAGTGCAGGACCCAGCACTTGGCCTTATTGAACCTCATATAATTGGCCTCAGCTCATTGATTCAGACTACCTTCAAGCAGATCAACAGTCCCACCTAACTTCATATCATCTGTAAACTTACTGAAGGTGCACTTGATACCCTTGTCCAGATCATTGGTGAACATACTGAAGAGAACTGGCCCCAGTGCTGAGCCCTGGGGGACACCACTTGTGACCAGCCTCCAACTGGACTTAACTCTACAGTGATTCTTTGGTTCTAGTCACCCAGCCAGTTTTTTACCCACTGAAGCATATGCCTGCCCAAGCCATGAGGAGCCAGTTTCTCCATTTGGCCATCAGTGTTTTGCAGAGGATGACTGGTCAGTTTACAGCAAATCTTGGACTGTGACCAGCTATGCCAGACACTGATATCTCAGTATTTCCATACAGTGTATCATCCAAACACCTCGCAGTCATGAACAGCTCTGTTTCGCAAAGGTGTCAGAGGTATCCTGTTTGGGATAAAGGTAGCAAATGGGAACAGGTATACTATGGAAGAGGGCTGCAGCTGTACTGGGAGCCTAGCTGCTGAGGTGTTTGCAGTTCAGGCCAGTGAGCTACCTGTTGGACCCTCCTTTATATTGTATCCTGTTTGCTTGAACTAAATTCATTGTCTTTGAACTTAACTAAAACTCAGAGAAAATGTAGGCATGGACTTGTTGGGGTGCAGATGCAGGGGCTGAGCACTGGGCTGTTGATCCTTGGGAAATTTCACTGAACCTCAGTGTCTGTTGTGGCATGCACACAACATGAGTGCAGCTCCCCACTCTCTTTCCGTCTAAATAACAGCTATATCTATTGGAAACTGCATTTCTACTGTCATATTCTTTTACTCGTCTAGATCGTATGTCTTAAGGATTAAATCTAATTTCGGTGAAACCCAAGAGCTACTGTTAAAAATGACCCCCCTCGTTACTGGCAAGACTACCTGATGTAAGACCAGTTGATTTAGTTCAAGAGATATTCAGGGAGGACTTGTTTTCCTGTATGAGTCTGTATTTAGTAAGAGAGAACACAGAGGAGCTGGGTAACTGAAAATACAGCATTTGCAACCTTAAAGTGGTTTGCTGCTTTTAATGCCTATGTAGAACAAAACAAAGAATGTTTTGTTTGGGGATAATAACCTACAAAAGTTATTTTCTTGCAGCTTCTTAAGTTAAGGGCACTGAGAAAAATAACAAAAGGGGTTAATAAAAGGAAAAAAAGAAAAGGTCTCTCTAAGAATCAGAAACATCAGAAACTCTCTGTGTTGCTTTCAAGAAGCCAGCCTGAACATAATTCCACTGTCCACAGCTCCTCTCAGTAATGTATGAGGACTCATTCGCTCAGTTCTGTAAGGCTAGGGGACAGCTGAGCTGTTAGTGCTGGATAACTGAGCAAGTCTCGTGACCACAATCCAACTGCATCTCAATTGGCATGTCCTGTGTAGTATATATGTCCCCTGACACTTTGAATTTTGTATATGTTTTTGAGTGTCTGTGCTTTATCATTAGCAGAATCCAAAGCTTCTGTGTGGAAATCCTCCCTGAATTTATAGGCGAGTGTCCTGTGATGTCGAATCTGATCATTTGTCTTTTCTGAGAGTGGGATTAGTGGGAGTTTACAATTATCTAGCTTTGCTTCTCATGGAAAGCTGTAGCAAAACTAATGGCAGTAAAATACAGGAGCATTTTTCTTGTGGCAAAAATCACACAAGCCAGAGCTTGCCACTTACATTTTCCAAGATAAGTTTGATGATTATCCTGTAAATGAGCATTGATTTTTTTCTGCAGATCCCATTACTTTCAACCCGAGAGATTGCTCTGTCTTCTTGCATACCTGTTATAAATGTATTGCAAATATTTTCTCTGTACATTTTTTTTTTTTCTTTAAAAGACCCCAAACCCACAGCCTCCCCCCTTCCCCGTGATGCTCTGAAAGCCAGATCCCGACTGGTTTTAGTGCAGCCAGAGGGATCTGTGTGCTTTTATAGCTGACTGACCCACAAGGTGGCACTAAAGAGAAAAGTGACAACTTGGCTAATAAAAAGTGAAAACCAAAGGCAAAATACCATATGCTGAATCAATATTATTTTAATTAGGAGCACACTTCCTTTATTGTCAGTTAAATTTTATTTTGTGAAAAGCCTTAAAGCTATAAAGCGGCAAAAATGGTTCATTGCCCCCATCCCACATCAAAAGTTAAGTTTTAAAGAGAATGAACGAGACGTAGGTCATCTACTTATCACAGTTCCAGAATCTGAAGGAGGATAATTGTGATCCAAATGTAGTTAATTAATTTTCTTCTCTAAGGAAGGAAAAAATTCAAATGAACTAAAAGCTGAAATCTTTTCAGTTATTAGTCACATTGGGAAGAGATATGACACCAGGAGTTATTTATCGTCTGCTGTACGAACAAGTTTTCTACTGGAATATTTTGATTGTTGAATTTTTATGCCTCTGTTGTTAAGTGCTCTGGGCTTACTCTATAAACAAATTCTCTGAAATAACATGTTTCTGTGATCGAGAATTTTCTACCAACAGGGGTTAAACCTTGATGGTTTGATAACAAGTAAGAATTTTCACTAAAAACTTCTTAATCATGAAAATTCTTTTGAGCTGAGTTACAAGTGAGTGGTCAGATTAACACTTTTATAACAAGAAATCTACAGTCATCTCCGGCCAGGACTGCTCTGTAGGTAGGTGACATGAAACTTGCGACGTAATTAAATAGATGATATCAGACTAATTCTGAACCTTTCCAAACTGGACTCGCTATGATATTTTTATTCCTTCTGAGGTGTGTGCCAATACGATTAGTGCTATTAAGGGCAATAGGGGGCAGGAGTTTACTTTCAGAGAAATACTTAAAGTGGTACCAATATGTTAAGAAAAAAAATCCTTAAAGTGATTCTAAGGTATTTTTCTGTGAAGTGAGCAGTATTACTGAATACCTGGCAGTGTGCTCTGGGAGCCACCAAATAATTGGATGTGTTGTCAATGTATTTTGATGCTTCATGAAATTTAACAGACTTTGAAATCACCCTGAAAATCAAAGCGACTCACGTTTAGCTTGAAAGAGTGAAATATAGAATTAGAAGTGATTGTAAACATTGGTTAAAGTGTAAGTGCTGCTGATGCATTAGGAATAGTCCTGTCACTGGAAATAGTTCAGATTTTTTTTTTTTTAAGTCAATAATTTGTGTTCTACATTCAAAGTCCTTGTTCGATTTGCTCCCATTATTCACTGTATGAGGAAATAAAAGCATCTATTACTCAGGATCCCAGTAAAAGCAAACCCAGGCAAATTCTGGACAAGAGAAGCAGAAGCAAGCACTCCCGTCCAATTGGCCCAAACCTTCCACCTTGCTGTATTTCAGTCCTCTCTTTGTATGACACCCCTTGTCCAGAGAATGTTTAGGGTCAATCAGAATTTTGACTGAATGATCTTTTCGGCAGAAGTTTGTTTGTTTTACAGGTCATTACTTCTGAAGGACTGTTGCAAGATGTATTACCCTCAGGTGTTATATTTCTTCATTTCTTCCAAAATTGTCTGTTTTACACTTATCCAGGACAGCTGGCAAGTCACAGACCCCTAAGGTGTTTTGACTGAGAGGTGAAGATGAGTGTTCCTTACAATAACTCCGGAGGTCTGTATGGGCATGGTGGGGCTGAATGAATATGTTCACATACACACCTAGGGTCAGCAAAACACAAAAAGGAGCCTGAGGCAGGGCAAGGTGAAGTACAACCAGTACTCTTGCATAAGAAGGGACTCTCCAGCCAGGAGAACCACGAGGTGACTTCCATATTCTTTGCTCATCTGGAAAATGGGATACTGAAAGAAACAAAACAGTTCATCATGTTTATAATGATTTATAAAACACTGAATAACTCTGAATGCATTGACACCTAACACCAGAATTATGAACATGTGTTACAGAGTTGAAGGGACAAAGAACTTACACACAGTTTTTATATATTTTTTAAATGTGTCTTAAAACATTTTTTAATTGAAATAAACCCTTAGGTTGCATCTACTGTGTTCCTTGTATTTTTTTTTTCAGTGAAAAGGTGCTGAACTAGAAGGTATGACATGATCTAGGTGGGGAAATGTTGGTTTGTAACATAATCTGGAATTTCTACAAATTCCTGTTTTCCCCTGAGACTAACTTCTTACCACTAATTGATTCCAATTAGCCAGTTTTAAGTGCAATCAGTGAAAGAAACAAACTTATTTCTACGCTCTGCACCCCGCTACTAGCAACATCTCTTTATTGAATTGGTAGAACTGAAATAGCTCGTAGTTGGAAAAAAAAATCAAGAAGCTGTGTTTAAAAGACTAAGAAAAAAATTGTAAAGGAATTGAAATATACTTTAACTAAAACTTGCTAGTAGAGAATGAGGACATTTGTTTTCTGCCTTAAATTGCCGCTTAAATGAGGAAAAAGAAATGAATGGAAGAAAAAGAAGAATCAGTTGCTGAATAGACATGGGCAAATATGAAAACTGAACATCTGGGAAAAATAATGCATCTCAGTCACTTAATTTGGAAATTTAAAATACTATTCAATTCTCATTATGAAAGTAGATATTTTTATCCTAAGACTTTAGGTTTAAAAAATACAGAGTAAAATACCACAGAAGAGAATGGTGATGGTCTCTGATTTCAAAGAACAGAGAGAATGGGAAGCAGGACCTGGTCTCAGAGGCCTGCTGGTACATGGGCAACATTTCATCAATGCCTCCTCAGATGTTCCTTCCAACCTGAGAGGCAGCAGAAGAGCAAGAGGTGATGATAGAAAATTGAGGGAAGATCCAGGGTACTGAGGAGCCTGCCTACCTTCTGGTAAACTTCCAGCTTCTCGTTCTGTAGGATTTTATCCACTAGCATAACACAGCACTGTGCCTTTTCCTGTTCTGACTGTTCCTTTACAAAGGGGAAAATAGAATTTGTCTAAGCTGAAGATGCATCTAGTCACCTGGTCATCTCTAATTATAAACTAAACATAAATACAGCTTAATGTCGCTAGTCTGAAGTAAGAGCAGTTATTTATGCAAGCAGCATGAGGACAGTTAGGTTACAGCTGAAGCAGAGGAGAACAATGCAAGGAAAGCTCAATTTCTTGGTATGCTCAAGCCAGCACAAATCATCATGTTTCAGCTTGTTTTACTATCTGGTGCTATGGCTGTTTTGACTTTTAATTAGAAAGTCTTTCTCTTAGAATTTTTCTTAGCAGTAATATTTAAAGTAACAGAAGGTGTATTCACCAAGGCAATTAATACATTAAACTGTGCGTGTTACCGAAAATGTCCTCTGGAAAATAGCAAAGAGAACACATGAACGAAATGTAGGGCCATTGTCCCAGTTTGTCCCTTTTGGCCAACTTGCAAGCCTCAAGAGGACACAACAGTCCCCTGTTTGCAGCGGTGCTTCTTCAAGTAATTATGGATATGTTGCAAAGCCAACAGATTATAGGTAACATTGTTGTGCCTTGAAAATTGTCATTCCCTAGCTGCCACTTGGTCTTGAGCACAGCCACCTGGAATCTGGGTCTGCGAGAAGTGAGTAGTTCGTAATACTTTGGGAGGTCACCTTATGTGTTTTTGACCAACATGTTTGTAGACTGTGGAGTGTGGACTGTTTTAGTACTTAAACAAAAGGGATAAAGAGCTGTGGGTAGCCTTGACATTGAAGTATGTGAGAAAAACCCAGCTATGACCACAGAAATGCCTGACTGAGGCTGAAAGGGTCAGCGGAGCACTGACTGATGGGGGCTGACTCTGTCTCTTTTCCCCTGTAACTCCTCTCTGTATATATTTCAGGTGCATTTTTTTTTTCTGGACTTTGCACAGAAGGGCTTTTTCTGGGCTCTTTACTGTTATTTTTTTATATATATTTTTTAATATTATTTTTGTGTTTGTGTGTGGGTCAGTAAGATAAAACTGTCTGTAAAACTTTCATATACCTGCAAGAATGAAGGATAGATCAACCAAGTCAAAAAGCAGAAGTTAGGCAGCCTCTGAAAGCTGTAATGTGCCGATCCTCTGTCTGGATGAACTGTACCCTGTTGCATGCTACACAATACAGTTGCTCATTTATAGAGCTTTTCTGCCGAGACTGTAAAGTACCATTGTGAATACCGAGTGGTGTCTGTGTGCAATCTTAACATAACATAAACCACAGCTTTATTGGGGTCCCTCGTCACCTCTTTGCTGGCCATAGTATAAACTGGTATAGAATTGGAAGCCGTATTGTCTGAAGTTTATCTGTGTTTCTTCTGATACTTGTCTGGGGAGGGCCATCTCCACAGCAATTCGGCTAAGGTGAGACATGCTCTTTTATTTTGTATGAGTAACTGAAACCCAATCCTATGAGCTCATAAAATGTGATTGCATACAAGATGTTGATGGCCTAGGGGAAGTTTTGAACAACTGGGAGTCATTATCAGGATTTTGCTGCAAAAATGATCCATGATCTGATGTGTTTTCCAGCACTCTACAGAAAGGCCAAAGGGACTGCAAGCTTCAGAGGCAGTACCCATGAAATCCATGTGTGTGCTTAAAACTGTGGACAAACAAAAAAACAAGAATCTTTCCCAAATGTACACAAATTGTTTCTTGGGCACCCCATACCTTTGTGATTGTGATTTCTCATCAAACTGGCTATCTATAGTAATCTGTACATGGCACTGCTTGTAGAGAGTAGCATTTGAGAACAAATTAATAAATTAATACCTCACTTGACCTGTATCTCATCTAGCTAAATTTTAGAAACCCATCATTACTAATATGAAGAAGAGGTTAATCTAGTAATGTGCAGTTTTAGAGTGATAGATGAGCTGAGGTACAAGGGTTATTTAGCACAGTAGCTCCTAGCAGCACCTTCTTATCATAAGTCTCCAGACCAACAAGGATCCCATGGGGTGGCTGAAAACCTCTTGATACTTTGAGTTATGGGACCAAACCTGGAAGTGGATATAAAGAGCCTTAACTCCTCTCACTTGTGCCTTGCTCCAGTATGTTGCCTGTGCTATTTTAACCTGACTTAAAAGGAATTAGCTGCATGGTTTCTTACTAGCATGCACCTTAAATCTTTTACATACCCTTTCTGACACTGGCCATTCAATTTATAGACCAATATTGTCAAAGCTGAGTTGTGTGACTGACTCCCTTAGCTGATTGTGGAAGATCTCAGCCCAGAGAGTTATGTATTTGTTATTTGTATATCAAGAAGGCCAGAATGATGTACCTGTGCTGTCACAGGCAGCCGCGCTTTCCTCTTTAGAAGTGTTGGAGCTGGCTAGCTAACAAGCACAGCCCAATTGTCCGGCACCAGAGCTCACTGCTTTGCTGAGAAGGCTTCACAAAACCTTAATCTGTGAGACTTGTAACTATTCAATTGTATTTAATTAAAAATATGATTACAAAATAGTTATAAATGACACTCAAACTATTCAATTTCATTCCGGTCTGCTTCTATTCTTGAAGCACATTTTTGCCTGAATGTCTCCCTGATGGGAACAAACACAACTTAAAACCCATTGCAGAAAGCGATAGAGGGAAACACTGCCTTTTCTACTCACGCCTGATACTGACAGCCTGCATACAAAATCTTAAAAGCACTCGGGCACTCCTTTTGTGCCTGCTTTTAGAGGGTTTAATGAAACATATAGAAACTGACATTTTAAAACCTGTAGCTTTGAATCTTATTTTGCAGTGTCAGTTTGTTTCTTTTTTCTTTTTATTTCTTTATTTTTTTTTTTCCAAATCACATAGCAATAGTTTCCTACCTTTCTGCTTCAAACTTCAGTCAACAAATAATGAAGGCTATTTTCAGATAATAAAACATTTCTATTCTTTGTCCTGTTATAACAGGTGGGCAGCTAAATAACACCACGGTAAATATGTGGGAATGCTAGTTATGGAGCAGTCTTGGCCCTCCTAGGACGTACAAAACTACTTAGCAAGTGTATCACAACATTTACGATCAAGACTACTTGAAATTATAAGCCTTTGTTAGAGCGTGCTGCACGATAAAAACAAAGGCTCAGATCCTTCCAGGGAGAGCAGCCCTATATATATTCCTGACTTAAACTGGTTTATGTGTCAGTAAATGATCATTCATATTCCGCAACAGCATGCAAAGTCAGATAACGTTTCCAAAAGACGTAGTAGATTTGTGGAAAACAGAGATCAGGCATTCCTTCGGGAAGTAAAATGGCTAATACAGCCCATTTCAGGAAACTGTGCAGATTTGCTTTGCTTATGAAAGAAAAGTAGGACTTTATTATTTTCTTCGCTATGGAAATTAAGGCCCCTCTTCTGCAAATCGTTATGTACACATTTAACTTGATGTACGGCATATATTCCATAGGACTGAGTGCCGCGGATAAACACATATGTAACTGTTTACAAGATTGGCGCTAAAGAGCTTCCAAAAAAAAAAAAAAAAAAAAAAAGAGTTTTTGAAGTATGCAAGCAAAATAAGGAGAGCGGGGATGTTTTCAGACATTGATCTAGATCCCCGCTGTGTAGATTAATTCTGCATTTTTGCAATTCCCAGATGCACAAGTCAGGGGGTGGGGGAGCGGGTGGAAGAAGTGGGCTCAGATTCAGTAAATCACTTTTCAGCAATTCACTTTCCCAGACTGGGGTTCACTCCTAGGACTTCTTAAGCCACGTGTCGGTGCATTCCCCCAGGCATTCTTAAATCCTCCCAGCCGAGAAGTGGGGTTCAGAACGGGCTGGAGGTGAGAAGCCCGTCCTGGGGCCGCAGAGTAAAGACGTGGGGATGCCTGCAAGTCCCAGCGAGCACTTAGGGACTGATTTTTCTCGGCATATTAATCCTATCGATTTGAGCGGAGTATTTAACCTTTTATTTTCGGCTCCATCCCCGCGTTAGCATGACAGCACTATTGTCGTCCAAACGTGTAGTCGGCGGCTCTTTATTAAGTCCTTATGAATCTGACACAGTGCCAGCCTCCGATATCCACGCGGGGAGCACAGCCCCGGGGAACCCCACGGCTCGGAGGGGCTGCAGCCGGCCGGCCCGTCCCCCAGCCCCCGTCCCTAGCCCACCTCCGGGCCCCCCCCCCCTCCTCCCCCCGCAGCCTCGGCGACCTCTCCGGGTGCCAAAGCGGAGAAAAGCCTCCTCTGTCCCCGTGTCTCCCCGGTCCCCGTGTCTCCCCCGTCCCGATGTCGCCCCCGCCTCCCGCCCCCGCCCGCTCCCCCGGGGCGCCGCCGTCACCGCCGGCAGCCGCTGAAGGCGAGGGGCGGCGGGGCTTGCCCGCCTCTCCCCCCTTCCCATCCCTTCCCTTCCCTCGCCTCTCCCCGGTGCCTATATATAGCTGCCTCTGCCCGAGCCAGCCGGGAGAGCGCTCTGTACCTGCAGGAGACAGAAAAGCCAAAATAAGAGCGGAGCGCCGAGGAGTGACTCTCCGGAGCCAGCCCCGCCAGGAGGAGGAGGAAGAGCAGGAGGAGGAGGACGGGGACAGGGACGGGCTCGGCGCCGCTGTCCGGTGCCGGGCGAGCCCCGCGGGGGCGACCCTCGCCCCCTCGCCCCCTGCCCGCCTCCCGGGGGCCCTGCGCGGCGGCGCGGGGCTCGCATGGCTCGGGCGCTGCCGGGGCCCGGCGCGGAGCCCGACCCCGGCCCCGGCGGCTCGGGGGGGCGCGGGGGGAGGAGAGCTCCCTGCGGGCGGCGGCGGCGGCGCTAGCGGGGGGGCCGGGGCGGCTGAGCCCTCCCCCTGGGCGCCGGGGTGCGCTCCCCGGCATGTGCTGAAGTGCCCCGCAGAAGCCGCACAAGTTGCAGGAGCGGCTCCGGCGGCCGGACGGCGGCGAGAGCCCGCGGCCGCCCCCTACCCCGCTGCCGACCCCGTCCCGTCCCCTCCCCATCCCCGTCCGGGGGTCATTTCCCGGCGGGGCTGCCGGCGGCGAGGGTGATGCGGCTCCTCGGGGAGGGGGTGAGGGAGTGAGCGAGAGGCGGTGCGCACCCCCCCCCTCCGGGCCGAGAACCCCCCCCTCCCGCCCCGGGCCGAGGAGCCCCCCCACCTCGGAGCCTCCCATGCCTTCGGGGCCCCCTCGGGGGGCGGCGGCCCCGCGGGAGGCGGGGGCGGCGCTGCCGTGATGGCCCTGGAGGAGAAGCGGGAGAAGCGGCCGCCCGTCACCCCCATGATGATCGAGGAGGAGGCCGCCCTGCGGAACGGCAGCCGGGGGCTGCCGCCGGGCCCCTGGGCCGAGGCTGCGGGGCCGAGACCCCGCACGACGGAGCGGCACATCGCCGTGCACAAGCGCCTGGTGCTGGGCTTCGCCGTCTCCATCCTGGCGCTGCTGGCCGTGACCATGGTGGCCGTGCTGCTCAGCGTCCGCTTCGAGGAGTGCGGCGCCGCCGCCGACGGCCCGCCGCGGGTCGGCGGCAACGGGAGCCTGGCCGGGGGGGCCCGCCCGCCGCCCCGAGCCGGGCAGCCCCCCGGCCGGCCCGAGCCCGAGGAGCAGGCGCGGGGCGGGGAGGCGACGGCGGCGGCGGCGGAGGAGGAGGAGGAGGAGGAGGAAGAGGAGGAGGAGGAGTGGCAGCGGCGGCGGCTGCTGCCTCCCTGGGCCCGGCCGCGGCTGCCGCGGCACCTGCGGCCGCTGCACTACAACCTGATGCTGAGCGCCTTCATGGAGAACTTCACCTTCTGCGGGGAGGTGAACGTGCAGCTGGAGGTGCGCAACGCCAGCCGCTACATCGTGCTGCACGCCCACCGCATGCACATCGAGGCGGTCCGCGTGGCCGAGGACAAGCTGGCCGGCGCCGTGCGGGTGGCCCGCTCCTTCCTCTACCCCCAGACCCAGGTCCTCGTCGTCGTCCTCAACCGCAGCCTGGAGGTGCAGCGGAGTTACAACCTCAAGATCATCTACAACGCCCTCATCGAGAACGAGCTGCTCGGTTTCTTCCGCAGCTCCTACGTCCTGCACGGCGAGAGGAGGTGAGGGGGGACCGGAGGGGGGCGTGAGGAACTTGGGCCGGCGCTAGGACCCGGCGGCTGCTGGGGGCGGTGGGTGGCTGAGCGCCCCTCTCAGTGCTCTTTACTTCAATACTTACAGAAACAAGGCGGTGGGGTGGGATTTCGCATGCCACGGACCGTTTTGATCCGCTTGGTGCAGCTGAGCCGCTGTAGGTTTGCAGGCAGTGGCGGAGCAAAGCTGGGCAGTGCCACCTGGTGCAGGTGGCACCGGGCACGGTCCTGAGCCGTGTCCGAGGGTGCTGAGGCAGCGGGGTCACCTCCTGAGCTCTTGTCACGGCGGGCAGGTCACTGGGGAAGCCCCCGTTAAGGCAGGCAGGCAGACAGCCTTTATTTAAAAGGAAAAAAAAAGTTTTCTAACTGCTGTCAAACTTTGTGAAACAAAGGATGGGATGGGTTCTTGATCGTCGTGTCAGCGTTTGTTCTTTTAGATTTAGTTTCTTTTTATAATCTGTCCTTTCCTGAAACATCCGTGCAGTGACAGGTTCTCTCCCTGTTCTGTACTTCCTGCAAAGTTAAGAATTTATGCTTGGAAGAATAGGGAAAAAAAAAAAAAAAAAAAAAAAAAAGTAAGTCAGGCAGAAAAAGCAAGCTCCCCAGCTCAAATCTACAGCCCTTGGATTAAAACATGCCTTTGTCACTGTGATTATTGACAGTTTTAAACACTCTGATGTGGGATTTGAGAACGAGATTGGAGTTATTTGTGTGATGTGTCACTGCAGTGAAATGAAATGAAAAATTGGTAAAGTATGGCTGTGGGAGAAAGTGCAGACAAAATACCTTTTGTCACTGAGGAGTTAGTGAGTGGGTAATCAGAAGTTTTAACAGACCCGTATGGAAACAGGCAAATCGGAAAACAAGACTGGTAACAGCAGGGGGTATAATTCACTTTCCAAAACCAAGAAGTTATCCTAACTGTTAGCATTCCTGAGCATCTTAACTTTATGTGGAAGTAGTTGAACTGCCAAGTTGCTGCTGCAGTGACATTTCCCCAAAGTTACCGCACTGTACTTCCATGCCAATGCTCCAGTTACGATTTAAAAAAAAAAAAAAAAGTTTTTTTTTTAGAGTCATCAAGAGAGTTTAAGGCACAAGGGTGGAAGGCAGCAGTCGAACATGCTTCCCAGTGGTTCTTGTGTAACTTTTCAGGTATAAATAATTTTGTCCTTAATACACTCGAATAAAGTCATATTGGGCAAGATCCTTACCTTATGTAAGGCGGCATTGTTATCCTGAAATCTCTGGCAGTTTTTCCTTACAGCAGCTCACACTTCTTTCAGTAAAATGCTGTTTATAAAACTGTAATCAGTTCATGGTTACAGTTTCAGGTGTTTAATAGAAATACCGTTTTTCTTTTTGAACTGTCACAGGCTTAATAACAATGACTCACTGTGATATAAAATAAATAATACACATTCTAAACCATGAAACTTCTTTGTTCACAGTGTGCTCTTGCAGTGCAGCAATTTGCATTTTGATTAATAACCCATTTTTTATGTAATGCATATAACCATTTGTAGCCCTTAAATGTGGAGAGTTTCTGCTGTGATAGACAGAAAGACTCCTCTCATGCCCTCAGGGACCCTGATATTCCAGCAGAACTTTAGCTTTTTGACATCTTCATATTCGATTAAAATACAACAATATTGTTGGAGTAGTGGTTGCTGTGAAAGGGTCTTAAACTTTGTTTTCAACTTTTCTTGTACATGAGGAGTAAATAACTGGTTAACTGTGAGCCTTCACAATCATAGTAATGCCTTCACTTTATAATTTTTTTTGGTGAAATTAGTTCATTTACTGTGCTATTCATAGGTGAAACTCTTAATTTAGCCTTAGATGTTCATAGTAGTATCTATTTTCTTACTGAAAACTTTAGTACTCTAATTGAAAAGTGAAACACAAGTGATGAGCTACAAACTTATTTTGCATTATGTGCCAGAATTTACTATTACTGAATCAACAAACATTTAATACAGATACTGTAGAGTACCATAATAATATGCACACATAATTTAAATGAATATCAAACTTTGACATAAATGAAAAAGAAAGAAAAACTTACATCATTTAGACAAAACAAACAGACATATTCTTCCATCTTATAACAACTAAGATGTCAAAATAGATAGGTTGTTGAGGAAACACACGTCTTCCTTTAATAGATGAGGTAGAATTAAAATACCTGCAAATTACTGCCGTGGGTATGCTGAGAAGAGAGACTGCAAGGCTGTCATTCCCAGAGGTACAACTTTTTATGGTGATATTTTGGGGAATTGGAGATAAAAATGTCAGTGCCCAGAGAAGTATGTAGAGACCTGAATGAATTACTCAACCTGCTCTTCACTTGCAGTGTGGTATAGTTTTGCTTGGTTTTCCTCCTAATGCAGAGAGAAATAGATAAGCACCGACTATTTTATTTTAGACACGCATGACAGCTTAGTCTTTGCGAAGCAGTTTTTAACTTTCTGCTTGTTTTACTTTATGGCACAACAAGCAAATCAATATTTGATAGTAATGCACATGTTATAAATATCACAGTTATTGGTAGCTGGTGTATTTTTAGTATGAAATATTGACTGCCCGATGTTTGCCCAGTTACGTCTATCTGGATATATGCATCTATCTGTGTGAAGACAGAAGTTGCAGAGTTTACCAGGTTTTATTACTGTGGTGTAGAGATTATATCAATGGCCTAACTCATAACAAAACTACTGATACAGTCTCCAAAAAGTGGAAGAAAAATACTCCTTTTTTTTGGGAGTATCTGTATTTATACAGTAGTCCCAAAGTATGCATTTACATGTTTGTCTGAGCTCATTAAAATTGTTAATTGCAGAGGAAAGTTCATCATTCTTGCTTTATTAATAACAGGCAGGTACAGTTTTCCATGCTCACTTGAAGCTACTGTTGACTCCTAGCTGCTCAGAGTGTGCCTAGAATGCAGAATCAGGTCCACTTGAAATACTTTGCATATAAATTAAGTTGCTTTGCTTCATTTAATTGGCTGATTTGGCTTTGTTGCACTAGTGTAAATCCACTGATAATAATGGATTTTTTTTTTTTTTTTTGATTAACACTGGAATACCTGGCATCAACTTTTTACCATATATTTAGCAACCTTATGCAGAATTATGATTTGTCTCATTAAAAAATGTGGGTTAGTTAAAAGAATACGACATGCTGAATTCCTTCAGTAGTTACTAACCAAGTAAGGCTTTTTGTTTTAGACAAAAGACCAATGGTAAAACCTTCAATGGTGGAAAAAAAAAATCATGCTTGAAAAAGAAAATTAGCCCTCTGAAAGAGGTGATCATTTCACCAAGAAATGATCTGGTTCTATCAGGCATAGATGTGCTATAGCGAGATAAGAGCAACATTTCAAGACATTTATTTCTTCATTGTTTTTATAAAAGAATGTTACTAAATATTTATTAAACCCAAGAAGTTTTAGGAAAAAAATAGATATTTTGTTTTCCTTAAAAGTTGCCTATTGTTTTTTCTCCCTCAGTGTTTGGGAGTATTGTAATGGAGATTAATGCCTATGGACTAATTAATAATAGGTCCCACCATTTTCATTTTATCAAACATATCCACCTGTCCTCTTCCTCCAGAGGAATAACAGATGATTAATCAACCTCTAAAATTCTGACAAATGTTTACCAGGTATCTAAAATTGCATGGTTATTTTTGCTGACGGAACCTTGAAAATGGAGACATGATTCAATACCTCTCAAAAAGCCTACATACTTGCGCTTACGCAGTTAGGTCATAGTCATTTTCTTGTCCTGTGTGCCTCCAGAAAATATTCCCATTGAACCCCATTGTTCTACCTTTTAAGTGTAGCTCCTTGTTTCTGCAAAGAGATCATCCCACATGGATTTTCTCTGAACGGTGTAAATTTGGAGAAAATCTCTACCCACAAATGTTCTTCTTCCATATCTGGATTAATATATGCTTAGTTCCGAAGCAAACAGTTGCAGATTTTTTTTTTTTATTCTTTCTTTTGGTCAAACTAAAGCTTTCCCATTCTATACAATGGTATAATAAATGCTTTTGACTTCTTTGGAGATCTTTTCATGATTTAACCCATTAACTAACAACATGTATATTTTCTTCATAAAATAAACTACAAAAGAAAAGCACATCTGGAAAAAAGGTTAAACTACTTTGTGCTTTTTTTAATCATTTGTTTATATGTGTAATTTTGCAAAGGTCCCAGAATACTTTTCCTGGACATGCACAGTAACATTAGTGCTGTATCATAGTGTGTCTCAGACCTGCATGCAACCAGTAAAGAAGCAATCAGCAGTGGAAAACAACGACCCTCTTGAGTATGTGATGTGGTCATAAGTTGTAATGTCCAAAGAAAGGCAAAGTGTGCTGTCAGTGTCTCGGGGCAGAGTGAGCCCCCTGAAGGCTCCTAAATTCTGTCTTTAACTGGGGACTGTGCTTACTTGTTCTGCATTGTGTGACCAATATTGGCCAAGTTTTTTTCACACATAGAACAGAATTGCTGTGAGAACCCAAAGTTTCATATGAGGCGAAGGATTATTCATTATTCATCAGGGTGCTGCCTGCAAATTTCCTACAAATTTGTAGGCTGTTACTTTATATTGATTGTGTTACAGTACAGGTAGTAAGAATTCATGCTAAGAAATGCTACAACGACAAAGCAGTGTTCAAACACTCTGTACTGTTGCATTTGTTGTTAAACCACAATAGTCAAGCAATGTTGTATTTAGTGTGTCTGTGAATAGAGTGCTGGTCACAGTCGGTAACAGCTTTGTTGTTTTTTTTTGCCTCTTTTCCAGGTTTCTTGGTGTTACGCAGTTTTCTCCTACTCATGCCAGAAAAGCCTTTCCTTGCTTCGATGAGCCCATCTACAAGGCCACTTTCAAAATCAGCATCAGGCATCAAGCAACTTATATATCTTTGTCCAACATGCCAGTTGAAACTTCTGTTTTTGAAGAAGATGGATGGGTTACAGATCACTTTTCGCAGACCCCTCTCATGTCCACGTATTACCTAGCCTGGGCAGTGTGCAATTTTACGTACCGGGAAACTGTCACCAAGAGTGGAGTAGTTGTAAGTATTTATGATGTTGTACACACATTTTCTAACTGTGAAAACCCTTGCTTTTTGTAAGGGATCATGACATCAAATACTTAACCTTTTTGATTAGCATTCCTAAAATTTGGCAGTTTATTTAATGATGGTGTGTACTGCTTGTGGCCTTTTCTAAAGGTTTATCATGGTTGGAAAGGGCCATTAGGGTTGGAAAAGACCTCCAGGATCATCTGATATAACCGTCCCCCTACCACCAATGTCACCCACTAAACCATGTCCCTAAGCACCAGGTCCAACCTTTCCTTAAACGCCCCTGATGCCACCACCTCCCTGGGCAACCCGTTTCACTGCCTGACTGCTCTTTCTGAGAAGAAATTTCTCCTAATTTCCAACCTGAACTTCCCCAGGTGCCACTTGAGGCCATTCCTTCTAGTCCTATCACTAGTTATTTGTGAGAAGAGGCCAACCCCCAGCTCCCCACAATGTCCTTCCAGGTAGTTGTAGAGAGCAATAAGGTCTCCCCTGAGCCTCCTCTTCTCCAGACTAAAACCTGAAATATAAAATTTTTGATTTGTTCAATACTTCTTGTAATTGATTAGCTTAGTAGGTGTGTCTGCCTCATGAAATTTTAAGCTTTCAGGTATGCCTTTTTCACTTTACTTTGATTTTCTGAGGAAGTTTTCTCTTGTTTTTCCTACAGCCTTTTCAATACTAGTATTTGTTGGACTTTATTCAAAGAAAACAGTAATACTGGAAAGGTTTCTAGTCTTCTTCCTTTAGTACTGACATGACCCTTGGTATGCTGTGTGCTAACTTGAGAGGCCAATAAAGTACTTCATATCATAGGGCATGCTTTAGAGCAGGACTTTACATCCTATCTGCTTCCTGTGGAGCTCCAGGTTGGTGGAAGCACTGACTTTCTGGAGCTGTTGTTTCTAAATATGGCATGGTTCCAAGAAGTATGTCATGAAAAAACAAGGGGAAAAATCCTTTATTTATGTCAGTTTTGTTTTTGTTTACAAATATCAAGCACAGAACTGTATAACAAGCCAAAATATACATGAGAAATGCTGTCAGCTTAATAGAATATTTCACAGTGCTGTCATCTTGATTTTACAGGTGTACATACAGAGAAACCCTTCCTTCGTAGTTTCTGTGAATAACAAATTTGAGCTACTTTTGGAAGCACGGGGCTAGGCTGGAGCTTTAACTGTGTGCCTGAGCAAAGTGGATTTTTAAATTTGTGCTTCTGCAAATGCTCTATAAATTTGTGCTGTAGCCTGGGGGCATAAGGAAGGGCTGCAGGCCTCCTTTCCGTGGTTGATCAAGACATGAAATGTCTCCTTAATCACTTTTAGCTAGCCTAAGCATTCAGCTGCTGTAGAAGGAGCTGATCCCACCCTCTCTGAGCCAAACATTTTCTTAGCCTTCTTGTGCCAGCACTCACCTCTGCACAGCCGTACAATATGGCTGATAACTGACCTGAAAAAAAAAAAAAGGAAGTGTGTGAATATGTTTTCAGCCAAATCAGTTCTTTGCCCCTGCTTTTTGTGTGACTTCCTGAGACCTAGTATGGATTCAGGGCTGTGCTGAAGATGAGGGAGGGTAGATTCAGACCTTTTTATTGGTAACCCTCATTTAGGTCATACTGAAGTTATGAGGAAATTTTTTTATCACTGAAACAGCAGGGTAGGACACCGGGGAGCCCTTTCATATAATGGCCAACAGACTATGACACTGTCATTTTATCCCACTGAAGGGGAGGGAGAAGCATGGCTAGGAAGTGATTCTCTGGGATGATTTACCCTAGGAATGTAAGAATGTTGGAACTGCTGAAGCCATGCTTGCACTCCCAGTGGTCATCTGTAGTGGCTGAGCTGGTCTTGTACCTCACTGTTACCAAAGAGGAAAGGCTCCTAGCTTTTTCTGGTTGGGACCTGCTATTCCTTCCCATGCAGCAGCTCTGGGGCTAGCTGAACCATTAGTTGAGCTGATTTACTGATTTCAATCATTATCTTGAAAAATGAAAGCATTATTATTATTATTATTATTATTATTATTATTATTATTATTTTAAACCAATAAGTTTCTCTGTCAGTTCAGTGAATTAATTTAGAAAAAGATCGCACAAATGCCAGTGCAAAGAAGTAAGAACAGAGAATGGTGGAGCTGATGCCTTGTTCTTAGTGCTGCTAGCTGCAGATTGATTAACTGGACAAGAAGTATTGCTCTTGGGATGAGAAACTGGTTGCCTCTGGCTGTTGTAGTAGTTGGAAGACTGAGCTAAGTAGAACAGGCTAGGATTTAAGGCCATTTCTTACGCCTTATCAATCAGTACCTAAGCAGACTTCTATCCAGGTAGGAGTTGATGATCTTCGTGGTAATGTACTCTTCCTGCTGAAGGATTTGGTCTTAAGCTAAGAATGATCTGTTATTCCTCTGCTTTAGCAGACAGTGGTTGCTTGAGTTTCTCCTTGAACTCCTGTAAAATGGAAGTTTTTGGTGTATGCTGTAGTAGCTTGGTCTTATGTTCCTTGCTCTGTAATACAATGTAACACTTGCAAGCTCATCATGCATGATACTCCTGTGCTATCTCACTCTTGACATGTCCTATAGTAATCTAAAAAACAGTTGCAAGCAGTTCAACTTCCAACATCAGTGTAAGCAAATACATGCAAGATGAGGGATGAACCATGAATTTGAAAGACACAGCCTACTTCCTTTTCGCCATAAGGAGAATCTTGTGTTCTAGTAGCATTATTTGCAGCTCATATGCTGTAGACTTCTGCTGCTTTTGGATATTTGATATCCTGAAGACAGAAGCATGCTCATGTCATATAGACAATAACTGTTACTTTTTGCTCTTCTGATATTTGGCAAAACTGTTCTCAAGTCTTTAGATTTAAGAGGAATCCAAAGAGAACGTAAAGGATTAATTTGGTAGGAATTTGTGGCTACTGAGGCCTCGGTTATGTTTGAGTCTTTCTTCAGCACGTGCAGGACATACATATGTAAGTTCACTCCTCCAGCCAGACTAAGCTGCACAGAACTTTGTGCCAGCAGTTGCACAAATTAGTAGATCATCTTGTCAAAGACCGGTAGGCCAAAAGCCTATATATTTTGAAATAGTCTCTTATTCCATAAAATTCTCTAAGTCTAGAGTTGTACCTCTTGTTTTTTTTTTTCATAGTGTCCCTACTTCAGAGATATATTAATGTCACAGGAATGCCAAAATAGTTTACAATGAATTACTGGTTAAATATATTTTGCCATTTTTCAGTTTGTCAGTGGTCTGTTCATCTTGTTCAGATTTGTTGAAGAGTATCTTTTACTGTATGAACTTACGGTAAACAGTTTAGAGCTGGGTTTGTTCGGATGAACTGCTGAGGTAAGCCATCTTTTCATGACTTTTATATTGCAATCCCAGGAGTTTGTGTACATTACCTAGGTGAATTTTTGAAATTATCTGAACTCCTGGGACATGCAATCTAAACTTCCAAGTTTCCCCTGAAGTTGCTTTCTTGCTCCAGTATCCATGGCAAGTCAACATAAATGTAAGAAAAATATAAGTTATCTCCTAATAATAAAGGAATGTTCAAGAAAAAGAACCTAACCCCCATGATGAAGCATTTTGATGGGCAGTTTCTTGCATGGAGGAACCTTTCTTCAATTAATGCAACGTACATTATACTTTGTAGACCCCTAAAAGATTTCAGCTTGCATGTACTTTTGCTTTCATTTTTGTGCTTTCGTGAGCTTGGTTTTGGTTCACAAAATGTTTGAAGAGCATTGGGGAAAATGTCTTTTCAGATTTTGAAAGCATGCTAATTTTTAAAATCTCATCTCTCTTTCAGCTGACCAATCTTACTAAACTGCTGTGGTCAAGGGTAGATAAACTCTCCAAGGAATAAAAGAAACAGTGGTATTAAAAGCAGGTTTGTTCTTCAAAAATGATTACATGTTAACTGTTCATTTTTTTCTCAAAGAGTGACGTTGACCTCAAAATTAACCTTAACCTAAGCACGAGGATTCAAATACATACCATGTTATAAAGACAAGTTGTGCTTTGTCCAAGCACAGCTCTGTCTATGTAAATCACTAGCATAACTCCTTAGTCCATAAGGGCCTGATCAGAATCAGAATCCCTTATAGAGCAGATAATTTAAAAGCAGATAATTATAAAATATTACATATAATATTAATTATATTATATATTATTAATATATAACATTAATTATATATTATTAATATATAATATTATTAATATCATTAATTAATATTATATATTATATATATTATATATTATTTATATAATTATAAAATATTATATATTATAATAAATAAAAGCAGAATTGCCTTCTTATGTGCATTACAGTTATATACTTTGTTGCTCAGATTCATCTGGGACTACAAGGAATTATTCATATCATTGGTACTGCCTTTTCTGAGTGCAGCTTGATTCCTGTGGAAGGGACTGAGGTGCAGATACCTTTTCTGTTGTGGGCTAGGGAGCAGTGTAGCTCTACCAGGGTGCTTCCTGGGGTAATGTTACATTGATAGAACAGGGACATCCTTATGGGCTTAGCTGATCTTTGTATAGCTTTCTACTGCACTGCAGCTGTGCCAGCTGTAGTTGGTGAAAATCATGGGATCTGCGTATTGTCATCTTTGCACAGTGAAATAATCGAGAAGACTCTGCTTACCTTCACATGCTTGTTTGTTTTTACTTGTGTGTTGTGTTTCCTAATCGCACCTACGTATGTTCTTTGTCAGTAATTCTTAAAAGCAAGATATTGCTGACTACATTTTAATGTCTGGCATATCATTTCTGCATCTCGTCTCCTCACTGTTGTCTTTATTTGTCTTTTCCATCCACCAGGCATTTTCCTACTGTTGTAGCTTCATTTTTTCCCTATCTGGATTGATTTTTACTCTACTTCATGTTAAGCTGTGCTTCTATTCTCCAAGCCCTCTATTTCTTATTGTTCTGTAGTCAGGATGAACATAAAAACTCCCTA